CCCCGCGCGGCCGCTCGCGGATTTTGGGGGGGTTGTTGCTTTTTTTCCTCCTCCCCCGTGCTGTATGTATTGGTTTCCTCATCTCCCGCCGCGGTTAACTTCGCCGTGACTCGGGTTAACTCTTGAGATCTCCGCGGATGCTGCTGAGAGCACTTCTCTTGCCTTTGCTGTCCCTTGCTGGGGTCGGATTCACATCGCCCGGACCCTGTGTGCCTGTATGTGTGTCTGAGTGTCTTGACATTTTGCTTTCCCTTACAAGAGCTATGCATTAATTGTCACCAAGGTAAGACTCCCTGTTCTTGTTCCCTCGTGTGCATGCCCGATTTAGATGTTTCTTTAAAGATGAAGTGTGCATTTTCTTTTAAACAGTGGAGTCATTTGTAGCCCTTCCATTGATGAATACTTGTGAAAAAGAAGCGTAGAACTTGCAGAAAAAAAGAGACCTATTTAGCAGGAGATCTAGCCTGGCTCCACAAACTCATCTGCTTTTCTCTGTTGCAGCTGCTGTGATGCCTGGAAAAATAATTCCTGCCTTATTTTGTTTTCCCTTTTGACAGACCTGTGAATGACCATAGGCTTGGCTTGACCTTGATTTTGATGGCTTTGTTGGAAGATCTGATGATGTGATTGCATTTCATGAGGTGATTGCTCTCCAGCCTCTGTGGTTCAGGGTATAAACCACTTCTGCCACACTGTCACTCATGGACAATTCAGATTTCTTTTTTAAACAAACCTTTTGGCCACTTTTATTTCCTCACTTCTCCTTTCCCCCCTGTTTCTCCTTACTGTTGTGAGCCTTATTCTACCCTCGGATGTGATTGATAGTCCTGCTGCTTCGTGCTGCCGATTTCTGGCTGAGAGTACAATGGCTCTGAGTGGCAACTGCAGGACTTACCTTCCTCCTCGAGAGCAGGGGACTGGGCTGCACTCCTTCCCGGAGGTGGTGGAGCTCAACGTGGGTGGCCAGGTTTACTTCACTCGCCACTCCACCTTGGTTGGCACCCCGCACTCCCTGCTGTGGAAAATGTTCACCCCAAAGAGAGACACGGCCAACGATCTGGCCAAGGACTCCAAGGGAAGATTCTTCATCGACAGAGATGGTTTCCTTTTCCGCTATATTCTGGACTATCTCAGGGACAAGCAAGTGGTTCTGCCCGACCACTTCCCAGAGAAGGGAAGGCTCAAGAGGGAGGCTGAGTACTTCCAGCTCCCGGACTTGGTCAAACTCCTGACTCCCGAGGACAAGCAGAGCCCCGATGATTATTGCCACAGTGACTACGAAGAGGTGTCCCAGGGCAGCGACACGAGAATATGCGCACCCTCGTCGCTCCTCCCGCCCGACCGCAAGTGGGGATTCATTACCATCGGGTACCGCGGCTCCTGCACTATTGGCAGGGACAGCCAAGCAGACGCCAAATTCAGGAGGGTCCCGAGGATTTTGGTTTGTGGAAGGATTTCTCTGGTCAAAGAGGTCTTTGGAGAAAGTTTGAACGAAAGCAGGGACCCAGACAGGGCTCCAGAAAGGTACACCTCCAGGTTTTATCTCAAGTTCAAGCACCTGGAGAGGGCTTTCGACATGCTGTCCGAGTGTGGATTCCACATGGTGGCCTGTAACTCCTCGGTGACAGCTTCCTTCGTCAACCAGTACACAGACGACAAGGTCTGGTCCAGCTACACCGAATACGTCTTCTACCGTAAGTACCAGGCGTTCCGGAGGGAGCTGTCCCTCCCTGCTGCTCGTGCGCTCCCCGGGCAGATTTCCTGCTGTGTGCCGCATTCTGGGGCTGTGTTTAGACACGTTGGGGTCTGGCGAGGCTGAGCGGGGCGCGCTGGCCCTGGCAGCACAGACTGCGAGAGCCGCAGTGTCCGCGCTCTGCGCTCGGGAACAGCCCGCGGAACCTGCTGCGCAAAACCTCTGCTGGGACTCGCCTCGCTAAGGTCATCGCAGCTTGGTAACCGTCGAGCACAGCCAGCCGAGCCGTGTGCCGGCAGAGCCCACGCTCTCGCACGCGGGGAAGGGAAAGCCAACCCCGTGGCTCCGGCCACAGCAGAACCGTCTGTCCCCAGCGAGAGGTGTCTGCTGCTCCCCGCAGTCACCCCGGATCGCCGCCGCCCCGGCCCGAGCCCGCAGCCTCGC